AAAAAAAAAAAGAGTTGGGCGCGGTGGCTCATGCCTGTAATTCCAGCAGTTTGGGAGGCCAAGGCAGGCGGATCACTTGAGGTCAGGAGTTTGAGAGTTTGAGACCAGCCTGGTCAACATGGCGAAACCCCGTCTCTACTAAAAATACAAAAAAAATTAGTTTGGCGTGGTGGTGCACACCTGTAATCCCAGCTCCTCCGGAGGCTGAGGCAGGAGACTCGCTTGAACCCGGGAGGCAGAGGTTGCAGTGAGTCGAGATCACTGCAACCAGGCTACATTCTAGCCTGGGTGACAGAGCGAGACTTCATCTCAAAAAAAGAAAAAAAAAAGAAAGTCAGTCCAGTTCTGGTGCTGCCACTTAACCTGTAGTGTAACCGTGCCTCAGTTTCCACATCTGTAAAGCGAAGCTGACAAGCACTGTCCACCTGCCCACCTGTCCCTCAGGCCTACAGTCGTGGAGGGAAGACCCAGTGGATGGGAGGAAGCAGACCTCAGATTGGGAAGCGATGGAAGGCATTAATTGAAATGGTTCCCTTGGGGGAGAAAGTTTTCTAAGCCCTCTGTGGAGAAACACCTTGGGTTAGGGAACTTGGGGATGGAAGGATTTCATCTGGAGCTCCCAGAACAACTTGGAGAGTATTCTGTTTCTTCCTGGAACTGGCTTTGTGCAGGGCCCTGGGATGAAGATGCTATGCACTCCTGCTTCCTTTATTGCCTTCTTGTATTTCCAAGAAATGCAGCCACAAACCCAGGCCGTGACTCTCCAGGGCTGGCTGACGTGGGGGAGGCAGGCCAGGGCTGGTGCAGTCTCCCAGGTTCTTGCTGGCTTTCTGCTCCTTGCCCATCGCTTTTTTTTTTCTTTTTTTTGAGATGGAGTCTTGCTGGAGTGCAGTGGCACAATCTCTGCTCACTACAACCTCTGCCTCCCGGGTTTGTAAGCACTGGTTTTGTTGCCTCCTAGTCACAAAATGGCAGCCAAGTTGATGCAGACAAGCAGTGGGTGGGCCAAGGCAGACCAGGGAGACGGGAGATGCGGGTGGGGGGAGGTGGCGGGTACCTTTTCTAAGAGCGTCCAGTCTCCAGTATAATCTCCCCTTTGTCCCACTGGTCCACCCCAGAATGTGGGTCACTTTCCCTGGGATCAAGGGATCCATCCCAACTGACGGCAGGAGGGGAGAGGAGAAAACCTCGGGGCCAAAGACCCAAGGCCACATATCTGATAAGGTGGCTAAAGGCCTGCAAGGCAGATGTACCCCACAGCTGGGGCCCCCATAACGCTCACTCAGCATCCACATCCCATCCCAGGATTCTGATGGGGCTGTGCCCTCCCTGCACACCCCGCTTCCAAACCACGTGGCCTGATGTGTCAGCTTAATTGCGAAACTGAGGTCTACAATGAAACCCACAAGGTATTGTCAAATACCTTCTTGCTCTCTCTTTTTTTTGAGATGGAGTTTTCACTGTTGCCCAGGCTGGAGTGCAGTGGCATGACCTTGGCTCACTGTAACCTGCGCCTCCCAGCAATTGTTCAAGCAATTCTCGTGCTTCAGCCTCCCGAGTAGCTGGGATTACAGGCGCGTGCCACCTGGCTAATTTTTGTATTTGTAGTAGAGAAGGGGTTTCACCATGTTGGCTAGGCTGGTCTTCAACTCCTGACCTCAAGGGATCCACCCGTCTTGGTCTCCTAAAGTTATGGGATTACAGGTGTGAGCCACCATGCCCGGCCTCAAATACCTTCTCATCACTTCCAATGACAGGGCCTGCCCCTGAGCGTGGGTGAACTGAAAAGGGGCTGTCACTAAGGCATTTCCCTCACCCAGTGGGGAGCACATGCTTAGTGGTTACTACCAGGGCTTTGGAGAGACCGGTCATTCCCCTCTCCGGAATTTTGTCATCTGAAAAATGTCCTAATAAGAGTTCCAACCCTACAGGTTTGTTATGAGGGGTTGTTAATGGCTTCCAAAGGCTTTTCTTGGTGCCTGCACAGTTAGCTAAAGTATTGCATTCAGGGCGTGGCACACACACCTTTCCTGAAGAACCCTCTCAGAACATCCCAGACTGTAGTCATTGTTTACAGAGCCTGGTCTGAGTCTCAAAGGTAGAGTGAGAGGAGGATGGAGCGTCACAAACTCAAACGACCCCAGCACTGAAATAAAGCACTGAGGGCTTCTGGCTGCTGTGATTGGAGTGGGCCTTCCTCCCCACAGGAGAAATGGCCTGTGTTAAAAAATGGCAAAATAAACTAGCCAGGCGTGGTGGTGTATGCCTGTAATCCCAGCTACTCGGAGACTGGGGTCATCTGTGATCCCAGCTACTCAGGAGGCTGAAAGAGGAGAATCGCTTGAACCTGGAAGGCGCAGGCTGTAGTCAGCCGAGATCATACCACTGCACTCCAGCCTGGTTGACAGAGAAAGAGGCTCCATCTTAAAAAAAAAAAAAAAAAAAGGGCAAAATAGGCCGGGTGCAGTGGCTCACGCCTGTGATCCCAGCACTTTGGGAGGCTGAGGCAGGAGGATTGCTTAAGCCCAGTTTGAGACCAGCCTGAGCAACATAGGGAGACCCTGTCTCTATTATAATTTCAAGATGTTTTTATTTAAAAAAGAAAAAAACAGCAAAATAACTCTGTGGCTATTAAGTTCTTAGAGGCGAAGTAAGTCAATTTTGTCTTTTTTTTTTTGAGACAGAGTCTCGCTCTGTTGCCCAGGCTGGAGTGCAGTGGCGCAATCTCAGCTCACTGCAAGCTCCGCCTTCCAGGTTCATGCCATTCTCCTGCCTCAGCCTCCCGAGTAGCTGGGACTACAGGCGCCCACCGCCACGCCCGGCTAATTTTTTGTATTTTTAGTAGAGACGGGGTTTTACTGTGTTAGCCAGGATGGTCTCGATCTCCTGACCTCATGATCCGCCTGCCTCAGCCTCCCAAAGTGCTGGGATTACAGGCGTGAGCCACCGCGCCTGGCTAAAAGAGAAATCTTTAGCTAATTCCTGTTTTATGGCCAGCTTTTGTCTACCCTCACAGAGCCTTGCCAAGGCACTGTGTACACAAACACGTGTACAGAAAGGAGCTCCTGCCACTGGGGGCCCAGAGAGGACACTACAGGGACCAGGCAGGGCCATGAGGCCAGCACCCTGGTGCTAGGTAGGATTCCCTCTTGGAGTAAGGGCTTCCCATGAGTCACCAAGAGGGCAAAATTACCTTCCCTTGAGCACATCACGACGTGCCTTGGGAAGCACTCATTCTAGAAGGGAGCTGTGAGATCAAGGATGTGGCCAGGCTCCGGCTACTCTTTACTTATTTTGCTTTTCTTTTTTTTTTTTCTTTTTTTTTTTTTTGAGACGGAGTCTCGCTCTGTCGCCCAGGCTGGAGTGCAGTGGCCGGATCTCAGCTCACTGCAAGCTCTGCCTCCCGGGTTCACGCCATTCTCCTGCCTCAGCCTCCCGCGTAGCTGGGACTACAGGCGCCCGCCACCACACCCGGCTAGTTTTTTTTTTTTTTGTATTTTTTAGTAGAGACGGGGTTTCACCGGGTTAGCCAGGATGGTCTCGATCTCCTGACCTCGTGATCCACCCAACTCGGCCTCCCAAAGTGCTGGGACTACAGGCTTGAGCCACCGTGCCCGGCCTTATTTTGCTTTTCATTTATACTTGTACCTCTTAAGATTCTCTGCCGTGGAATGTCAAACTTCACGTCTCATCATGACGAAAGGAGCTCGGTGTGGGCACAATCGTCTCTCACGCAAGATGCTGACTTTCCCCTTTTCCCGCCCCTCGCACCCTCCCCACAGCACGCCCCTGGCAGGTGCGCTGCTAACAGCGGGCTGCCATGGTGTGGGCACCAGGCCCGGGGCCTCCCAGGGCAGGCTTCCATTCGGACTTGGCCGCTCAGTGGACGTGGGCTTCTCTGTTGCTCACATGCAAGATGGGAACAGTGTACCTCTGACAGGGCTTGGCTGTGTGTCCCTTCCGAATCTCATGTTGAAATGCGATCCTCAGTGTTGGGGTGGGGCTTGGTGGCCGGTGTTTGGGTCATGGGGCGGATCCCTAATGAATGGCTTTGTGCCCCCTGGCAGGAATGAGTGTGTTCTCACTCTATGACCTGGTTGTTTCAAGGAGCCTGGTCCTCTCTCTTGCACCCTCTCCCGCCATGGGACGCGTCTGCTTCCCCTTCGCCTTCCTCCATGAGTAAAACCATCCTGAGGCTTCCCCAAAAACAGACGCAGGCACCGTGCTTCTTGTCCAGCCGGCAGAACCGTATGCCAAATAAATCTTTGTCTTAAACAAATTACCCAGTCTCAGGTATTCCTTTATTGCAACACAAAACAGACCAACACCACCTGCTTTGCAGAAGTATTGCAACGTTCAGAAATGGTTCTCTCTCACCCCCCACTAAATGCTGCTTTTTGGTTCAAGGTTGTATAGAATGGTGCAATTTAAGAAACCAAGGATCTATGATTTTGCCTAAAACAAACCTAATTGAATGAAGAATTCACTCATATTTTCCTACTAAAAATTGAAATACTACAAGGAAACAAAACCAAAACCACATTCAGTTCCTTTATTTAATTTTCTAGTGGACAATTTACATATCTCCCTCACCCTGTCTTTTAAGTTAGTGTGACAGTTTTCCATAATAAACTACTTAAAGAGAAGCTTTGGTCAAGAATGGAATGAAATCGCAAAAAAACAAAAACAAAAAAATTACTGCTTTTAAAAAACCAACACTTTCACCAATTTTATATTCAAACAAAACCACACGGCATTGGCGTGATATGTTTTCAGTGTTTCCTTGGGGCTGGCTTCCTCGCCATCGTGCCATGGCACAGCTGCGGTCGGCCACAGTTTGTCATGCTGGATGGCGGAGGCTCACTCAGCTTCACATTATCCGGAGGCCCTGGATGGAAGACTCGAGGGTCTTGGAAAAGGTGGGAAGAGCACTCATGTCACTGAGGAGTGTCCACCCTGAGGTTTTCCCCGAGGTAGGTATCACACCACTCCCTCCTCCTCAGTGGAGGTGCTGCCTGTCCCCACCCTGAACCTGGCCCTGCCCCACCCGAGACAGGCTCTCCCAGGACTCACCCTGCAGAGACACTCCAGGCCCGGGCTCCCCCTGCTGGCTCCCGCAGGCCAGGTGTCCCTTTTCCCCACTGCTCCACCCACAGGCTGTGGGCGCACTCCTCACTCCTGTGTGTGTGGTTTTTGTTTTTTTTGAGATAGGGTCTTGCTCTGTTGCCCCAGGCTGGAGTGCAGTGGTGTGACCACAGCTCACTGCAGCCTCCAACTCCTGGGCTTAAGAGATCCCCCTGCCTGAGCTTCTCAAGTAGCTGGGACTAACAGCATGCGTCACTGCACCTGGTTTTTAAATATATATATATACACATGTATATTTAAAAATAGAGACAGGGTCTCACTATGTTGCCCAGGCTGGTCTCGAACTCCTGTGCTCAAGACGGGGAAGCCGGGAGGAGAAATGAGCCTCAGGTTCCCAAAGTGCTAGAATTACGGGAGTGGGCCAGCATGCCTGGCTGCACCGGGCTTTTTTATAGACATGGGGTCTTGCTATGTTGCCCAAACTGGTCTCAAACTCCTGGCCTCAAGCGATTCTCCCACCTTGGCCTCCCAAGGTGCTGGGATGACAGGCGTGAGCCACTACGCCTGGCTGCCCACAGCTCTTTTTTCTAGTTTAATCCGTGCTTCTGGAGGACCACACCATGGGCAGTGCCTCAAAGGCAGTGTGCGCTCTCCGAAGCCCAGAGTTGGCCTGGGTGTGCTGCGCTTGCAACTCACGATGCTCACCTGTGCTTTCTCAACTCCTAGTCCCCTCCCCTCCAAAACCCATCGCAGCTCAGGATGCTGCTCAGGTGCAACCTTTTCCCTGCAGTGCGGGCAGTCGGGCAGTCGGCGCATCGCCCGATTCCTCTGTGTGAAAACAGAGGCACTGGCTTCTCTTCCGCGCTCTGCCGAATCCCCTACCCAGCCCCTGTATCCACTTCTCTCTTCTACCAGACAGGCTTCCTCGCACTGGATATTCTCAGTGCTCAGCACCATGCATGGCACCCAGAAGACACTTAGTAAATGTTTATTAAATTAATTAGTGTCAGCCATAAATATATATCTATATAGTTAAACCTGGGCTGGTGTCCAATAGGGCCTGTTTCCAAAATAGCACTCCATTTTTCCTCAATGAACAAATGGACATCTAGAAGTAAAAATTTCAGTTCACTGAGAATGTGCCGTTCTTCAGTGGATGACTTTTAGGTTTTAAAGAGATCTCCAGCTGGGCATGGTGGCTCATGCCTGTAATCCCACCACTTTGGGAGGCCAAGGTGGGCAGATCACATGAGGCCAGGAGTTCAAGACCAGCCTGGTCAACATGGTGAAACCCCATCTGTACTAAAAATACAAAAAACAGCTGGGTGTTGTAGTGTGCTCCTGTAATCCCAATCACTTGGGAGACTGAGGCAGGAGAATCGCTCCAACCCGGGAGGCGGAGGTTGCAGTGAGCCAATATTGCACCACTGCACTGAAGCCTGGGCAATAGAACACGACTCTGTCTCAAAAAGAAAGAAAAAAAAATAAGAGAGAGATTTCCAGTTTAATGTCTTATATTAGGACATTAAACTGTATACTAGATTTAACATTTTGTTTCAACAATTGAGAAACATTCTTCTCACAAGAGTTTTGTAAAATATTAGCGGGATGTGGTGGTGCGTGCCTGTTGTCCCAGCTGCTTGGGAGGCTGAGGTGGGAGGACTGCTGGAGGCAAGGAGTTGGTGGCTGCAGTGAGCCATGATTGCACTACTGTACTCCAGCCTGGGTGACAGAGAAGGAGCCTATCTCTCAAAAAAAAAAAAAAAGTTTTAACACAAACAAAATTTGTTCTGTTAGGTAGAAAATACCTTGAAATCCCAAATTGTCATGGCTCCATCGATGCCAGTAGTGCAAAATTTGCGACAGTCTTGCTTGTCCACCTCATAAATAGAGACTTGACTGAAAAAAAGCAAAGCAAAAGAGACCGTAAGGTATGTAGTGGAAGTGAACACAACATTCCTGACTAATCGTGTAAGGGCAGCTTAATGAAATGAATTATGTTCTTTAAATAGAGATGGGATGGGGTCTCACTATGTTGCCCAGGCTGGTCTTGAACTCCTGGGCTCAAGTGATCCTCCTGCCTCAGCCTCCCAAAATGCTGCGATTACAGGCGTGAGCCACCACACTGCGCCAGGAAATGAATTATCTTTTAACTCCTGATTATGAACTTGTCCATGAACATTAGGCTGCAACAGTCTGGCTCAGAAAATACCCCAAAACATCTTATTACCAGATGTCCAGGAAAGACAAAACTGGAAAGGGGAGAAGTTAAGAGCCTGCCTTAGTTAGAGTGACCTGGGGAAGCAGGAATGACCCAGCCCACACAGCACTCAAATGCTGGGAGCAGGTTGTGGGCAGCACCACAGTCATGGCGAAAACAATGTTTGTGTTTGTTTTTAAATAAACCAGAGGCATGATGAAGCATGACTGAAATCCAACTGACTCCAAACAAAACCTCTCAAATCAGCCTCCAAGACAGCCAGTGCAGATAAGCCAACAGCCCTCTGTGAGTTTGACATGAATCATTATAAATGTTAGCAGCAGACATACCCCCAGACTCCAACCAAGCCAAGCAGGGGAACAGATAAATGAAACAACTTGTCTTAGCCTAATTATCTGGAAAGCTTTCAAGACAATCTTCCATTGCTCAGAGCATATTTTTCTTTCTTCTCTGAAATGTCTAGAACTTACCCTCCTCTTCCCCGACGCTGGGAAGGGGATGGCAAACTATGGCACACACCGCCTATTCCTGTACAGCCTGTGAGCTTAAAAAAAAAAAAAGGTTTTACATTTTTATTTATTTATTGAGATGGAGTCTCACTCTGTCACCCAGGCTGGAGTGCAGTGGTGCGATCTCGGCTCACTGCAACCTCTACCTCCCAGGTTCAAGCGATTCTCCTGCCTCAGCCTCCCGAGTAGCTGGGATTACAGGCCCCCATCACCACGCCAGCAAATTTTTGTATTTTTAGTAGAGACGGGGTTTCACCATGTTGGTCAGGCTGGTCTCGACCTCCTGACCTCAAGTGATCCACCCACCTCAGCCTCCCAAAGTGCTGGGATTATACGCGTTAGCATCTGCGCCCGACCCAGCTTTTACATTTTTAAATAGCTGGAAAAAAATTAAAAGAGGACTATTATCTCATGAAATGAAAATTATGTGAAATTCAAATCTGAGTGTCCATAAAGTTTAACTGGAACACACCATCTCATTTGTTTACAGCGTCTGTGCCTGCTTTCCTGCCACAACCACGGAGTTCAGTGGTTGCAACGGAGACCTACGGCCTCTGAGAGTCTAAAATATTTACTATCTGGTCCCTTACAGAAAAAGTTAGCTGACACAGCTCTAGTGCGAAGAGCACCTAATTTCTGCAAATAAAAGTAGACTAATGGGCAAGGGTTTGTCTTTTCACTTTTCACCTAGAAGTGTCAGAGAGACAATGACAGCTGTTTCTTTCCTTAACACTTGGTCTGCATAGAAGCTTAAGAGAAATTCACAAGAAATAACTCAGAGTCATTCAAGACAGAGAAACCTAAAGAATGGAGAAAAGGTGAGTTTTGCTGTGGAAGGAGAAACCTGAAGAATGTGGAGAAAAGGTAAGTTTTGCTATGCCTTCAGGTTTTTTTTTTTTTTGAGATAGGATCTCGCAATGTAGCCCAGGCTGAAGTACAGTGGCACAATCACGGCTCACTCCTCTCAAGTAGCTGGGACTACAGGTGTGCGCCAACACAGCCAGCTAACTTTTAAAAAATTGTTTGTAGAGATGGGGTCTTATGGCCGGGCACAGTGGCTCACGCCTGTAATCCCAGCACTTTGGGAGGCCGAGGTACGCGGATCACGAGGTCAGGAGATCAAGACCATCCTGGCTAACACAGTGAAACCCGGTCTCTATTGAAAACACAAAAAATTGGCCGGGTGTGTCGGCGTGTGCCTGTATGCCCAGCTACTCGGGAGGCTGAGGCAGGAGAATGGCGTGGACCCGGGAGGCAGAGCTTGCAGTGAGCCGAGATTGAGCCACTACACTCCAGCCTGGGCCACAGAGCAAGACTCTGTCTCA